CGACGCTAGTCGTAACACCGCCAGAATCAGCAGTCAACTTTCGTACTATAACTAATAAAGAGATACAAACGACGTTCAGTCATATATTTACACCCGACGCAACACAAAGGGAGGTATTTAAAACAATTGCTCTTCCTCTTGTTGAAAATCTTATTCATGGAAGAAACGGTCTGCTGTTTGCTTATGGTGTTACTGGCAGTGGAAAGACATATACAATGACTGGGGAATCACAAGATGTTGGCATCATGCCTCGCTGCCTGGATGTCATTTTCAATACCATTACAAATTATCAAACAAAAAAGTTTGTTTTTAAACCAGATAAATTGAATGGTTTTGATGTGCAAAGCGAGGCTGATGCTATGTTAGACAGGCAACATGAACTTCACGCGGGTATATCGCAAAGAACTGGAAGACCTGGCAAAAAGTAAGTTTCTATATTTAATATATAGAAATTAATATACATTGTTATGTTCAATAGGATTGTATAACAATATATTGTATAATTTATGACAGTCGTAAAGTGGACAGCGATGGAGATAGTAACCCAACAGTAGCACATGAACGTAATGAATCACAAACTGTGATGATTGAACCAGATAATGCATATGCTATATTTATAACATATGTTGAAATATATAATAACAGTGTATATGATCTGTTAGATGAAGATGATATTAGATCCAAGTAAGTATATTGTGAAAGAAACAGAATTGACAGGTTTGATACATATATTTAAAGCAAATCTTTTTAATTAACATAGGACACTACAGAGTAAAATTGTCAGAGAAGACGGTAACAAAAATATGTATGTACATGCTGTCATAGAGATTGAGGTGAAAAGCGCAGAGGAAGCTTTTGAGCTGTTCCAACGTGGACAACGGAAAAGACGCGTTGCTCATACAGCATTGAATGCAGAATCGAGTAGATCCCATAGTGTTTTTACTATTCGACTTGTACAGGTATTATACTAATTTTTTACTTACAGCATCAGAATTATTTTAATCTACAAGTGTTTATAATGGTCTCTGTTATTTTAGACACCTTTAGATTGTGAAGGTGAACATGTAATGCTAGATAAACGAGTCGTGTGTGTGAGTCAATTATCTTTAGTAGATTTAGCAGGTAGTGAACGCACGAATCGAACTAAAAATACTGGTCAACGTTTACGAGAAGCAGGTAGGACATTCGCGTTTGTCATATTTATGAAATTTATGAAAGCATTTAAATGATAAATGTACATAATATTTAGGGAATATTAATAACTCGCTGATGACTTTGCGCTCGTGTCTGGAAATTTTAAGAGAAAATCAAAACCAAGGTACAAACAAGATGGTACCTTATCGGGATTCCAAGCTTACCCATTTATTTAAAAATTATTTTGATGGTGAAGGACAGGTCAGAATGATAGTCTGTGTAAATCCGAGAGCAGATGACTATGATGAGACAATTGTATGTAGTAAATAATTGAATCTATCTAATAAAAAATGTAATTACCATTAATTTCTTAAAAATGTATATTTAGCAAGTCATGAAGTTCGCGGAAATGACTCAAGAAGTGCAAACCGCGCGGTCAAATCCTGTAAAATTGGATCTTGGTTTTACCCCTGGAAGGAGACAAGCAAATAAAGTAATATCAAAATCTGTAGTAGTGGATATCTGTATAGCTAGAATCAGGCTTTATCATTCAGAAATAACATGAATTTTTTTCCTTTCAGATATTCAAAGAAGCAAGAAGTAAATTAGAGAAAGAGGGACGACCAGAAGCTGCTGATTTAGACATTGACTTAGGCTTAGTGTACAGGTATTGCAATTTAGCTCTAATTTAAGGAAATTTCTCTTAATTTTATAAATTATTATATAATGTTGAATAATTAATTACATGTTTAACTACATTTTAGTTTGAGTGGACCATTTCCTCACTTGGAAACCTTTAATTCAGACAATGATCAAATAATACATTCCCTAATACAATTCCTAGAACAACGTATCGAGAGGCGCAATATGCTGCGTGTAGATTTACAAAAGAAACGTGAGACGCTTTCTCGTTCAGTTTTAGTAAACTAAATGGCGCAACTAATATTGCAATCTAAGGTGTGCTCTAATAAAATATTTATTTTGTTTATAGAAGAGGATTTCAGAAAAAAAATTGTAATAACAGAGCAAGAAAACGTAAATTTGAAAATCGAAGTTGCTTCATTGAAAGCTGCAAATACACAGCAAAAGAGAAAGGTATACATATTTTTAATAACATTATTATGAACAAAATTAGAATATACTAATTGTATTTTAAATTTTTAGATATCTGCATTTGAAGGACACCTCTGCAAAACGGAAACGCAAATTGATACTCTTCTGTGTAAATTAAACTCTGCTAATGAGACAATACGCAGTTTGCAGCAAGAAGTAGGTTTAATATTATATTTGCGTATGTGTGTGTATGTGTCTCTCTCTCTTTTATTACAATTATTTAAATAACACGTTCTTTGTATATAGATAAGAGATAGAGACTTAACATTAAATCAACGTTTGATAGACAAACAAAGAGTAAAGCAGAGATATAATACAAAGATGCAAGCCGAGACAGATAAAATGAATAGAGAATTAGAAATTAAATTGCGTCAACAGCGTGAACATCTTCAGGTAATTACTTTGGTCTTATATTTAATTTTTTTTCTTTTTTAACTTTATAACATTTTACAATGTGTTTAATGTATTCTATAATTATTTAGAATCAAATGAAAGAAAAGGAAGACAAATTGCGATTGGTGAAACAAATTTTAGTTGACGACAATTCTATAATTCCATCAAAAGAACAAGTTCCAGGATCAACAACAAAAGTAATCAGTCCAGATAGAGAAAACCACGGGAGAATATCACGGAAGGTTACTTCTTATTTCATTTTCTGTTTAAATATCTTTTAATAAACTCAAGTTGTGTATAATATATAAATTAAAGAAAATTTAAAAATAAATTTTTTTTATACACAGGATAGAATACCCGTTTCAAATCCGAGATACAGACGATCGCAAAGTGCTGATCGATGGATCGATCATAGACCTCAGACTCTTGTGCCGATCGGGACTGTATTGCAACCATTGATGCAAAGAAGACGAAGTGTAACGCGACTTACTTCCCCAAAAGAGATTACAGATGGTGCATCTAGATATTGTCTTATCGCACAAGAGCATGATACAGACGGAGAACTTGAAACAAAATTATTTAAGGTTGAAATGATGAAATTTTCTTCTATAAAAGATTATGCATTTTTATGATTAATATGGAAATTTTATAATTTTTTCCCAAATTTTCAAACAGGGCGATATAGTACCAACAAGTGGTGGTGGAGCACAGGTAATATTTAATGATATGGAATGTCTAAAACAATCATCACCGAAAGCAAGAAAACGTGCTGGACGAGAAGAAAATGTAGACCAAACAGATATCACACAGGTGGAAACAAAAAGACCACGGGTATTATCTTCATAATTAAACATATAAAAAATTATTTATATGCACAGGGAAATTCTCTGATATTAATAATTATTGTAACTTGTATAAAAAAAATTGATATGACAAAATATGTGTGATATATTTATAATTATACATATTCTTATGACATTCTTATGATATTCTTAAGATTTAATCAGTAACATATATAATTTTTATTAGAATTTTTATTAATTTTTATGTTTTTACAAGTTCCAAGACAAGAATTTATAAATGATATTCATATAATTATTGTTGCGCAAAAATATACCATAATTTATGGATATTATATATTGATGTGTATATATGCTACATTGTAATTATTAATTATTTAAACAAGATATTTCATTATAAAAATGAAAACGATTTTTAATATAGATATAAAAATACACATACAGTTTAAATATATTTTGTAAATATTATATACCAACACAAGTATATGTATACAAATATGCATACAAATATGTATGTAGTGTTACGATTCTTTAAATTGTAAAGATGTGTGTGGACGAAGAGATGGATCTGGTAGTGTATTAGCACCTAAGGTATTTCTTCGTAAATTTAAAAGGCGATCCTCTTGTTCCGAGCTATAATAATAATATATGTAATTACAATCCGATTTCCGCATAATTTTTTTTCTTTATATTTCCTTTTTTTCCTCACTTATTTTACTGATATGACTTACCAGTTCACCAGATTTTCATTATTACTGCTTTCTTTCATAAACGTTACCAGTCCATATGAATTATGTTTATCTAAAGTTCCATTGTAAACTAACAGATCATCTACCAATATCTGCATAATAAATGTTTCTGCATAAATGGCAAATTGGGGACATCGATAAACATAAGACAATTTATTTTTCTTACTGCAAATTCTTTAACTCTCCTTTGCGGCGTTTTTCCATAATTCCATATTTTAATCGTTGATACCATAACAGGGTGATAAAATATTATATACACACGATTGGTCTGAAAAACATACAAAGCATGAAGAAAATTAAATAGTAAACCTTATATAGTATGATATATTTTCGCTTACTTGTCCAGGAAGTATAGGTGCTAACCAAGCATGACGTCCGTCTTTAGTATTATTTATTCCGTCGATAAGTTTGTTCGGTGTACGAATGTCATTATTTATGCCCTCTATTATATTAACGCTTTCAGGAAATGCGGCTATATCTATTTTAAAAAAACGAATTAGCAGTAAATATTGATGAGAAAATTATCTACATATGTAAATAATATTCTTTTTTAAAAAGATATATAAAAAATATATATGTATGTATGTGTGTGTGTGTGTCTGGTAAAATTAAAAGGATACAAATAAATTAAAAATGTGAATTGAAGGAAGAGAGTATTTTCTTCACAGAGAATATTATATAAAACTATAAATATGTAATTCAATTGCAAATATGAATTGTAAACATACTATCTGCAGTTAACTTGACTTCATTTCCATAATTGTCATATATTTGTATTCCATTCAGGCCAACGTAGTAAGAGTCTCCCCATGTGGAGAAGATTATTATTTGATAAACGAATCCCTGCGGCATTGACGGTGCTTCATAGTTTGAATCCAAAGACGCAAGTTCTAAAATAATTATATATATATATTTTTTTATGTATA